CTTAGTCTGGGGTTTTCTTGTTGTTCTCTTTCTGGTTCTTTAAGTTGTAGTGTTAAACAGTTTATTGGTAATTTTCTTGTATTTTGAGGTATACTGTAGTGCTATGAACTTCCCTCTCAGGACTGCTTTTGCTGTGTCCCAGAGATTTTGGGTTGTTACGTGTTCATTTTTGTTTCTTCCCAGGAAGTTTTTTATTTCTTTCTTGATCTCAGTGGTAACCCTTCATTGTTTAATAACATGCTACTTAGCCTCCATGTGCTTGAATGTTTTGGGAGTTTTTACTGTAGTTGTTTTCTAATTTCATTCCACTGGGATCCGAGAAGATGCTTGATATAATTTCAATCTTATTGAACTTGTAGAGATTTGTTTTGTGTCCTAACATGTGGTCTATCTTTGTGAGTGATCCATGTGCCCTTGAGAAGAACGTATATTCTGCAGTTTTGGGGTGAAATGTTCTAAAAATGTCAATTAAATCCATCTGATCCAGGGTGTCCTTTAGAGTCACTGTTTCCTTGTTAAGTTTTTGTCTGGAAGATCTATCCAGTGAAATCAGAGGGGTGTTAGAGTTCCCTACTATGACTGTATTGTTGTTGATCTCTCCCTTAAAGTCCTCTAGAAATTTTGTTATATATTTAGGTGCTCCTATATTGAGTGCATATATGTTTACCAGGGCTATATCCTGTTGTTGAATCCATCCCTTTAGTATTATGTAGTAACCTTTGTTGTCTCTTGTGATGGCCTTCATTTTGAAGTCTTTTTTGTCAGATATGAGTATTGCTACTCCAGCTTTTTATCTGTTCCATTTTTTCCCCATCCCTTCACTCTCATCCTGTGTGTGTCTTTTGTTCTGAGGTGGGTCTCTTGGAGACAGCATATAGTTGGGTCATGTTTTTGTAACCATTTAGCTACCCTAAATCTTCGATGGGAGCATTTAAGCCATTTACATTTAAGGTTATTGTTGATAGGTACTTATTTATTGCCATTTTAATTCTGTATGCCCAGGTTTCTCTCTCTCTGTCTTCTTTTCATTACAGCAGTCCTGTTAGCATTTCTTGTAATGCTGGCTTGGTGGTGATGTACTCCTTTAGCCTTCTTTTGTCCAGGAAGCTGTTTATTTCACTGTCTATTTTCAATGTGCACTTGAATTACTATAGCCTTGCTGGATATGGTAATCTTGGTCTCAGATCCTTACTTTCCATTACCTTGAGTAGTAATAGTTTGTTTTTCTCTTGCTGCTTTTGAGAGTCTCTCTTTGTCATTAATTTTGGCATTTTAATTATGACGTGTCTGGGCATGGGCCTGTTTGGGTTCTTCTTACTTGGGGTTCTCTGTGCCTCCTGGACTTCTGTGACTTTTTCCTTTATCAGGTTATGGAAGTTTTCTACCATTATTTCTTCAAACACGTTCTCTATCTCTTTCTCCCTTTCTGCCTCTTCTGGCTCACCTGCTATTCTAATATTGTTTCGTTTCACATTGTCCCTCAGCTCCCTTAAGCTGTCCTCCTGTTTTCTAATTGCTTTTTTCTCTTTGGTTCTCTGATTGAGTGATTTTTTTCAACCTTGTCATCTAATTCACTGATTCAGTCCTCAGCTTCACCCAATCTGCTGTGTGTTCCTTCCAATGTGTTCTTTGTGCTATGTCCTCCTTTATTTCTGTTTTCATAGTTACTATATCTTTTCTCATGCTGTTGATCATCTTTACCATCATTATTCTGAACTCCATATCAGATAAATTTCTTATCTCTGCCTCATTTATTTCTTCTGGATAATTCTCTAGTTCTTTCATTTGTGGGTTGTTTTTTTATCTCCTCATTTTGGCTGCCTGTTTGGGTTTGTGACTCTGTATTGGGTAGCTCTGCTGCGCCTCAGAAATTCTTATCTCTCTGATTTTCTGTTTTATGTAGCGAATACCAGGGCCTGGTGAAACACACAGGAGGCTGCCATTGTGGAGCAGTTCGCTTTGAAGTTTGGGCCTCGGCAGACTTGCACATCTTCGACTGCAAGTGAGTGTTTTCTCTTCCCGAGTTGGCTTAAGAGGACTTTGAGTTAAAACACAGTGCTTCAGCCTTTCCCGGGGAATTGGGGTATAGGTGAAGCAGCATACAGTTGATAATTGTTGGAGTCAGGTGATATGTATATAAGGGTTCATTGTTCTATTCTTTTTCCTGCTGTGTATACTAGAAGTTTTTTTTTTTTTAATTTAAAACTTTGTTTTTAATCCTCACCGAGGGTATGTTAATTGATTTTTAGAGAGGAGAAACATTGATGTGAGAGAGAAACATAGATGGGCTGCCTCCTATAGGAGCCCCGACCAGGGATTGAACCTGCAACGCAGGTATGTGCCTTGACTAGGAATTAAACCCATGACCTTTCAGTGTACAGGACAGTGCTCCAGCCAGCTAAGCCACACTGGCCGGAGCTAGAAGTTTTGTTTGTTTTTGTTGTTGTTGCTGTTGTTAATCCTCACTTGAGGAAATGTTTCCATTGATTTTTAGAGAGAGTGGAAGGGAGGGGGAGAGACAGAAAACCGATGTGAGAGAGGCACATTGGTTGGTGGCCTCCCTTACACACCCTGATCAGGGCCAGGGCCCGAGCCTGCAGCCTGGGTGTGCTCCCGGGACTGGAATCAGACCCAGGGCCCTTTAGTCTGCAGGCCAATGCTCTGTCCGCTGAGCCAAACCAGCTAGGGCTAGAAGTTTGTAATAATAATTTTTTTTAAAAAGATGGAGGCTAAAAATAACTGAGTCTGCTCTGTATGTGAGTGTGTGTGCATGAGTGAGTGAGAGAGATTAAGAGAGAGACAGAGAGAGAGATAAATAGCACTTCTGTAGAGAGCGAGCGAGCACTTCTACGGTATCACTCAGCTGACACAGAGCAGGGCCCTCTGGCTTGTGCCCGGCAGAGTCACCCCCCAGACTGGTGGGTGGGGAATGGTAGCTGGAGGCGGGTCAGTCTGGGCACTGAATGAATGCCTTGGGCAGTCTTCAGAGTTGGGGCAGGTGGAGGGGAAGGGAGAGGAGGGTGTGCACACTGTGCTGGGCCCTCTCGCTGGGTTCTTCCAGGTGGAAGGCCTGCTTTTTAGCACAGTCCCTGGCCTTGTGACAGAGCAAGGACAGGCTCAGTGTTTTGGACCTTTTGTCCTTAGGTGGTCCCTGAGTTATATGAGAAAAAATATAATGGAACTGACCAGGCTACTAACAGTGGAGTCCAGACTGAAGAAGCACCATGGCTCCTATACCAGAGTGTTAGAGGCTCTTCTTATCGAGGATTCTGTACTAAATTAGAATTTTTTAAAAAGGTGGACTGAAAAGAGAGGGCTTAGATTTAGTTCCACAGACGGTCATCCGAGGGCCTGTTTTACTTGGAGCTGGGCTTACTGTGATGTGCAAATGAGCAAAGAGGGACATGTAACCTTTCTTGTCCATTTTGGTGTGGCTCTTCCCAGAGGTAGAAGATTGTAGCTATGCCTGGGATCAGTGTGTCTAGAACCAACAGCTCCCTGCCCTGTAATGAAGTGGGGGTGGTAACAGACACGTGGTTCTCTTAGTGAGGGTCTTCAGAGGGATGCGTGGTCCCCACTGCTGAGGGTGGGGCCTGCGGGCAGAGACCCAGGCGGCCAGTTTCGCTGCCGGAGCGCCCCCTTCCCGGAGAGTGCTGGCAGAGACCTTACTCCTGGGGTCAGCCAGCTCTCAGGTCATATCAGGTTGGGCCCCTTGGCACTCAGAGGGTGGGGAGGGCTGTTCACAATCTGGGACTTGCTCTTTCTTTCTGTAGCTGCAGTGTTTGCAAGAAGAAGCAGAACAGACACTTCATTGTTCCTGCTTCTCGCTTCAAGCTCCTGAAGGTTAGTGCTAAGAGCAGGGCTGACGATGCAGAGCCCACTGGCAGCACCCCGGCTGACGGGCAGCACCCCGTAGCGTTCGAGGGGACAGGAGCGCAGCACGGCGCCTCTGGGCGGTCCCTTCCCTGGTCACCCAGACTTCGTGTGTATTTGTAAAGGTTTTGTTATGTTTTCCTTTATATTTTGGATGCTTATGTGATATTATGTGATATTACTGAGGAAACATTTTCAAATAAATAAGATCATCCAAATCCCATCAACTAAAGGTAATCACTGTGTTGGTGTATATCTTTGTCCATGATTTTCTACGCAGATAAATACATCTAAATATGTATTTTGTCTTTTATCAAAGTAGGATTTTGCCTCCCTTTCTGTTTTATAACCGACTTTAGCATTTCCCAGTGAAAAATATATGATATAAGATTTTTAAACTTTATTACTGTGGGGAGTTTTTGTTCTTGGGGCAGCATCTGAAAGGGGGGACATGCATGTACACAGTGCAGTCTTCCCCGCTGCCCCCTCGTCCTCCGCTCCAGTCCCTGGGCTCTGGTCCTGTTCTGCATTTGCAGCCCAGGGAGACTAGTGCACAAGTGCATGGGTCCCTGCCTCCCTGGGCACTGAGGGACTTACTACCAGTACTGATTTGTCTCCTATTGTTTGTCAGCCCTCAGTCTTCATGCGAGTGATGGGGGCGGTGGGACAGGGGGCAGCGGACCTGTCTCTCGTCTTTCCCGGAGGTCCCGAGGACTGCCCGTCCCCTCAGAGCCCGTGGCTGCGGCCCAGGTCGCCTTTGCTCCTGGCACCCAGGGTGCATGGTGTTTGAAGACACCAGCGGGTGCAGCGGGGCTCTGGGTCTTGGACTCACACTTTTTCTTCTCATGCTCCAAAGCGCCATCCTCTTCTTTGGCTCCAGTCTGTGGAAGGAGCAAGTTTCTGCTTATTTTTTTGTATTTATTCTTTTTAATTTAAAAAAATTTTTTTATTGATTGGTTTTTAGAGAGAGCGAGACATCGATTTGTTGTTCCACTTATCTATGCACTCATGGGTTGATTCTTGCAGGTGCCCTGACCCAGGGGTTGAGCCCACATCCCAGGTGCACCCGGACAACCTCTAACCAACCGAGCCACCAGCCAGGGCTTATTCATTCATTTTAAATTGACACATAACATTATATTAGGTTCAGATACGCAGTGGAGAGATTCATTATATGTACATATTGTGTGTTTTTAAAAAAAGTAAGTACAATCTTACTCGTTCAACAAGTATTTATGGGACACCTGCTGCACGCAGGCACTGCTCCACTGAGGCCCAGCCATTGGCAGGACAGACAGGTCCGTCTCGGAGCTGACAGTCTATAGAGGGGACACAGACAGACTAAGTGAGAAGAAGTCGGATCGTGCGTGTGAAGAGGGGAAGTAGAGCGACACGCAGGTGACCGCTGGGAGCTGGAGTAGATTGGTTAGGAAAGGTCCCTCCGGTGCTCAGCTCCCAGCGGTGAAGGTGGGGTGCGTGGATGGAGGAGCTCCCAGCAAAGAGGGGATATAGTGCAGGGGGCTCCCGAGCACAGCTGTGGCATGCCTGAGGAGCGGAACCAGCCGTTGTGACCGCAGAGGGTCAGTGAGGTGGAGGCGAGAGGGTAGACTAGGGCGGGGTTGGCGAGAGCAACGGCGAAGGGGGGTAGCTTTTACTCTCCGTGTGTGTGAAGTTCGCGGAGGGGTGTAAGCAGAGCAGTGACAAGACCTGCTTCAGTGTTTGAAAAGCTCACTTTGGCTGTTGTGTGGAGAGTGGCTTGTAAGGAGGCAGGTGCAGACGGGGGTAGCTAAGAGGTTCTCCAGGCGGGTCAGGTGAGAGATGATGGGAGTGTGGATTCAGACGGTAGTCATGGAGATGGAAAGAAAATAGATAACTGGAGATGTGCTTTTCTTCTTATTGATTCTAGAGAGAGGAGTAGGGGAGAGAGGAACATGGATGTGAGAGAGAAACATCGATTGGTTGCTTCCTTCTGTGCGTCCCTTAACCGGGAATTGAACCCACAACCTGTATCTGTGCCCTGACTGGGAATTGAACCCAGAACCCTTTGGTGCACGGGATGATGCTCTAACCACTGGCCAGGGCTGGAGATAGGTTTTGAATAGGTAATTGAACAGGTGTCTTAGAGCAGTGGTTCTCGCACCTCAGTGTGCACGGTCACTTACAGGGCATGCTAAACAGGTGGCCGAGCCCCACTCCTGATCCGTGGGTCGTGGGATGGGAGTGAGAGTTTACATTTCTATGTGTTCATGTGATGCTCTTGGTGAGGACCATGCTCTGAGAGCTGTTGTTGTAGAGAAGGGTGCACAGAACTCTGTAAAGGATCGGGCGTGAGGAGGAGGAGGGAGAGAGAGCAAAGTTACATCCACAGTGTTGGGCCTAACCAACGAGGCGAACAGAGATGCCAGATCCTGGGCAAGAAGCCAGTGAGATGCTGGAAGCAAGAGTTCTTTTTTGAAAAAGTTGGATTGAAGTTATCTTTTGGACGTTCATGCAGAGGTAGGAAGTGGGCCGCTGGAGGTGAGTCTGGGGTTGTGGAGAGAGAGCAGAGCTGCGGCTGCCGATTTGACAGTGGTTGGCATATGAGACCGGGCGAGGCCAGCTGGGCAGAGGGTGTAGCCAAAGAAGGGAGAGGGCCGAGGACAGCTCCTGGGCTCGCCAGCATTTATCGAGCTCGAGGAGGATGGCCAGGGGCGAGGGGAGAAACAGGAGTGTGGGTGTCCTTTAAATGGAAGGTGCGGTACTGAGGCCAGTAGAAGAGCAAGTTAAAAATCCAGTGGTCAAGAGCAGGGCCCAGTAGATTAGTCAAGATGCTGCCCTTGGTGGGTGTGATTGGGCCTGAGACAGGTGATGACAGGCTGTGCGCTCAGTGGGAGGAGGGCTGTGGTCAGGCTGGTGGGTGCACAGGATCGCGAGGGAGTGAGGATCGGAGGTCACCGGTGACCTCTGGTAATGAACCGGTGAGGTGGGTGTGAGGCAGCTCCCCACTCTGGGGGATTTCTCGGGAAAGTGTGTAATCAGATCACTCTGGCTGGTGTGGGACCACTTGGCTGTTGCTCTTTGCAGCTTCTCTGTGGTGAAGTGGCCGCAGGGTGAGGAGAGGCCCCTGAGGGAACTTTTTTGTAGGACACGCAGAGCTTGAGGGTGTTCTGGCGGCTGGGGAAGAAGCGTAAGAAAACCTTCACCCCAACCCTCAGACCGACACACACAAACCCTCCACCCCAACCCACAGAGACACACACACACACACACACAAACCCTCTACTCCAACCCACAGACAGGCACGCATACACACACCCACACACACACACACACACACACAGAAACCCTCCACCCCAACCCTCAGACCGACACACACACAAACCCTCCACCCCAACCCTCAGACCGACACACACACAAACCCTCCACCCCAACCCTCAGACCGACACACACACAAACCCTCCACCCCAACCCTCAGACCGACACACACACAAACCCTCCACCCCAACCCTCAGACCGACACACACACAAACCCTCCACCCCAACCCTCAGACCGACACACACACAAACCCTCCACCCCAACCCTCAGACCGACACACACACAAACCCTCCACCCCAACCCTCAGACCGACACACACACAAACCCTCCACCCCAACCCTCAGACCGACACACACACAAACCCTCCACCCCAACCCTCAGACCGACACACACACAAACCCTCCACCCCAACCCTCAGACCGACACACACACAAACCCTCCACCCCAACCCTCAGACCGACACACACACAAACCCTCCACCCCAACCCTCAGACCGACACACACACAAACCCTCCACCCCAACCCTCAGACCGACACACACACAAACCCTCCACCCCAACCCTCAGACCGACACACACACAAACCCTCCACCCCAACCCTCAGACCGACACACACACAAACCCTCCACCCCAACCCTCAGACCGACACACACACAAACCCTCCACCCCAACCCTCAGACCGACACACACACAAACCCTCCACCCCAACCCTCAGACCGACACACACACAAACCCTCCACCCCAACCCTCAGACCGACACACACACAAACCCTCCACCCCAACCCTCAGACCGACACACACACAAACCCTCCACCCCAACCCTCAGACCGACACACACACAAACCCTCCACCCCAACCCTCAGACCGACACACACACAAACCCTCCACCCCAACCCTCAGACCGACACACACACAAACCCTCCACCCCAACCCTCAGACCGACACACACACAAACCCTCCACCCCAACCCACAGACACACACACACACACACACACACAGAAACCCTCCACCCCAACCCACACCCACACTCCCCCCCGCAACACACACAGTGGCACAAGTATGTATATCCTTTTTTTAAAAATAGGAATGGTAGTCTAGTACACACATTGTTATATGCTTTGCCTTTTCACTAACTTTGTGACCTTAGAGAAGATTCCATATTAGTTTTTGTAACTTTTGGAAAGTTGCAGAGGATTCCATTTTATGTGTCCATAGTTGCTTTAACTAATCTTCTGTTGGACATTTCAATTTGTCCAGTCGTCAGCCTGTACAGACAGTGCTGTAATATCCATGTACATGTGTCATTGGAAACATGGAATTCTAATTGTGGGGTACATTTCTAGACGTGGAGTTTCTGTGTCAAAGGATTGTTCAATCAAAATTTTGATGTCAGAACTTATCAGTGTGTATTCTCACAACTGGCCCATTGAGTGATGTTCCTCCACATCTCCTCAGTTCGGTATTAAACTGCTTTTATAGTTTGCCCACCTGACAGTGAAAAATATCTCATCGCAGTTCATGAGTGTAAACTGTCAGGTTAAAGACCTATTTGTCATTTCACAGGTTAAAGACCTATTTGTTTATTTTTTTTTCTTAATTTTTATTTATTGATTAGAGAGAGAAGCGGGGGGGAGAAACATCAACTTCTTGTCCCATTTATTTATGCGCTTGTTGGTTGATCTTGTAGGTGCCCTGACTGGGTCTCAAACCCTCAACCTTACATTTTGGGTCAATGCTCTAACCAGCTGAGCTACCCGCCAGGCCTGTATTTTCTTGTCACTGTTTGTTCATGTTCTTTGTCCAATTCCTCATTTGTTATTATCCATTTGGGAAATTAGTCTTTTGTCTCTGATGTCACGCAAATACTCCTTTCTTAGTTTGTTCTTTGCAACTGCAGTTGACTGTTTTCTCCAGACCTTCAGCAGCACTGTTGGGGGACTTGGAGAGCCAGTCCCTAGTGCAGGCTGTCTACTCACTCAGGCCTGGAAAGCAGGCGTTTTCCCGCGCCGCCT